TCCTGCATCTGAATGAAGGATTTGGAGAGATGACCTCTAAGTTTCCTGTCATTTCTAATACGTTGGGGTTGTTTGAATCAGGGGGATTACAGCTATTGTGTGGTATGCCCATAGCATCGTGTCAGCTTCTTGAGGCTACATTGGGAGCACATCTGGTCCCCCAGAGCACATAGGAGGGAGGGCTTCTATCAGTAAATCTCTGCTGCTGAAAATATAAATGAGTTAATTAAATAAGTGGCAATCCATCCAAATATCGTAGCACTGCCCAGGGATACCACTTTCATAAGATTCGGAAAAGACCGGGTATTCCAGGTGGACAAAACACCTACCTGCATGCATGGCTGAATGGGTGGAGCATGGGCTTAGCCTCACCCCCTACCCCCTTTCTTGGTCACGTGCCCTTGTGCAGTCTACAACCTCAGTGGCTGCCCTGGGCAGCCCTGCCCTTGCCATACATCATCTTACCTCCCAGGCAGCTGAGGACCAGCAACCTCACAGCTCCCCCAACGGCCTGCATGTAACCTGAGGGGACAGCTGTCCTGGGAAGTGTCATGATCCTCTAGGCATCTGGATCACAGCTAAAAAAAAAAACCCCCGTGCCCACCCTTGAGATACTATTAGGGCTCAGCACCATCATGCCTCATCCCTCTCTTTGCCTCAGTTACCTCCCGAAATAAGGCCTCGCTGTTCAACTGTTAACCTCATGCGATTCTGACCCAATCCCTTTTTCTCTCCCACCCACCTCACACTGGCCTTTCTGTCACTCTGTCTTTATAAGTTAGCTTACTTTCCTTGTCTTTAGCATCATCTCTTATCATTCCCACCACTTGCTGGACTTCACTGAAATCGAACCGCTCTGCACGTGAAAACATTTTTGGTTTTTTTGGGGGGGAATTCTGTTTTGTTTTTTGCTGTTTTTGTTTGTTTGTTTTCTCATTTCCTGTGGATTTCAGGATTAGGAGGTAATGTAGTTTTTTTCCTTACCATACACTGTCACTTCCTTGGGTCCTTTAAGACTTGCATCTTAGGGATATACGGCAGATACTTTTAGTTGCCTATGTGTTACTCATTCTCTTTTTCTTTCCCAAACATAAAAATGACTTGGTATGGAGCAGCTATATGCCCAGCTTTTTAAAAAAAAATCAAAATTAAGCCTCCCTTGCAGTTAAGATTAGCCAACAAACATGGTTTTATCTAATGCAGAAATGACTGGGTAGCTGCAGGAACTCACTTATAAAGGAGGCAGGCCCAGCTGGCTCTTCACTTTCTCCCTCACCCTTCCTTCTCCCAGACTGTAATGACAACATGATGCTGTATGTGGCACTGAGTTGGCATTGCATCTTAGTAATCATGAGTCAGCACGCTGGAAACTCATTTGTAATTAGCTTTGTCTCATTTCACCAAGGATTCACTCAGAATTTTGTCATAACCCACAACTGCACCACCTCCAAAATCTCAAATCCAAAACTTCCGTTTTCTGACACCATCTCCTGTTCTACAAGATTAGTTCATGAAGTGACCCCATTAAAACAGTCTTTGACCTCATCAGATCACCAGTCTATAGAACTCTCTATCCTATCCCTTGCCTTCCAATCCCTCTTCTATGTACGTCCGTTCTTCCCCAGGGAAGACTCCATGGAACCCAAGGAGGACCACTCTTGTGCAAATATTCTCACACCTTTGACCCCTTCTCCCTTCAGTGGATTCATATGGCAAGACCTAAGTCTAGCTTCACAAAGCAACTGAACATTCTGGAAAAGAATGACACATGGTTTCACACAGATGGATGTGTTTCATTTTAATTTTGTGATCAACGACCACAGAGGGGGATTCCTCCTGGGCATTCTGGGAAGCTCATTTTCTCACTTTTGAAATAACTGAAGACTGTCTCACACCTCCTCAATGGCTTG